AAAGTTAGGTGACCCAAATTGAATGGAATTGGTGTTTGGGAAGCTAGAATTTAAAATGGGTCAATCAAAGGGAATAAGATTCTCTTAATCCAACTTGTAATGAAAGCAATGATGGCATGGAATTGAAGCCAGCCATGACAGGTCAGTTTTAAGATGAAGATGATAGAATGAGTCTTAATTTATCATACCCAAAAAAAAAAAAATTAATTAATTAAACAATTTGGTCAATTTTAGAAAAGAAAAATAAAAGGGGAGGTGTGGAATTTACTCTTGAGAGAGAGAGAGAGGGGCTTGACTTGACCAAATTGATTAAATCAAATTGATGCCCAAAGTAAAGAAAAAGCATCTGTTTTATATTCTCATTGTTTGAAGGATACTCACTCTCTTGGAATCCAAGACTTGGTATCTTTTACCCACCCAAGTTGCTTTTGTTCCTTCTTATCTTTTCAAGAACCCATCAATATAATAAATAAATAAATAAAACATGTTTTTTTAATTATCATTTTTAAAAGCAACTTTAGAAATTATGTTTAGATTTGATTCGCCTTGAAGAAACAGTTAGAATATCACAAAAGTATCACATCTGTTATATCACACGTCGATTTTTTTTTCCTTTTTTTTTTTTTTTATAACTAAGGTGTTTAGGTCAGTTTGTTCGTACTTCATCTAATCTTAGAGTTAATTGAATACCTTATAAGCTTATGGATAATAAATAAATAAATAAAACATGTTTTTAATTATCATTTTTAAAAGCAACTTTACAAATTATGTTTATATCTGATTCGCTTGAAGAAACAGTCAGAATATCACAAAAGTATCACATCTGTTATATCACATGTCGATTTTTTTTTTTTTTAATAACTGGGGTGTTCAGGTCAGTTTGCACGCACCTCATCTAATCTTAGAGTCCATTGAATACCCAATCAGCCCATGGATTAGGTAAATCATAAATGTAGTAAGTAATCACTTTGCAAGACTCAAACACAATTCATTTGGATAACCCATCCAGATGACTAAAGTCTTGCCATCGGGCCATAACGCTAGTGTTTCACGTCAATTTTTTTATTTTTTTATTTTTTATAACTGAGATATTCAGGTCAGTTTGCGCGCACCTCATCTAATCTTAAAGTCTATTGAATATCCAATCAGCCCATGGATTAGGTAAATCATAAATGTAGTAAGTAATCACTTTGCAAGACTCAAACACAATTCATTTGGATAACCCATCCAGATGACTAAAGTCTTGCCATCGGGCCATAACGCTAGTGTTTCACGTCAATTTTTTTATTTTTTTATTTTTTATAACTGAGATATTCAGGTCAGTTTGCGCGCACCTCATCTAATCTTAAAGTCTATTGAATATCCAATCAGCCCATGGATTAGGTAAATCACAAATGTGGTAGATAAGCACTTTGTGGGACTCAAACGCAATACATCTGGATAACCCACGCAGATGACTAAAGTCTTGTCATCGGGCCATAAGGCTAGTGATTTACGTAGATATTCTTATGACATGTTTAAATTATTCCTCTCCTATATATTTTTACAATTCTATAAAAAGGTGTGCCCTAATAATAATGTAAAGAAGGGTACTTATACTCCACATAAGGATTGCAATTGAGTAAGGTTGCATGCTCAATCATAATCCCTTTCTTTTTTTCTTTTTTTTCTTTTTTAAGTATTATGTGATATAAAAAAAGATGTTTGATCTTTAAATGTTCCATGTTTTTAGTTAACATTCTTTGCACTATTATTATAAAGAAAAATATATATATATTTTAAATTTTCATTTATTAAACATATACCTTTGTAATTTAAAAAAAAAAAAAACTCTATTTATTTCAATTTGTAACCCATTATATTAAATTTATGTAAAAATTATAATTTCCCTTACAATAATAAAAGACAAACCCTAATTATGATATAATGCCACTTAAATCAAAATATACAATTTTTTTTTTTTTAATAACCAGGGTGTCAAACCAATTTGTACGTATCTCAACTAATCTTCAGAGTTCATTAAATACTCTACAAAGTACAAACCCAATAGATCAGATAAATCATAAATGTGATAGGTGGTCACTTTCTAGGACTCGAGCATAAGACCTTTAGATAATCCATTCAGATGATTAAAGTCTTGTCATCCGACTATAAGGTTAGTGGTTAAAATATACAAATTAGTGTATAGTTTACTCAATTTTCCTAAATCTTCTTTAAAAAAAAAAAAAAAAATTATTATTATGCTACAAAGGTATCTTCCATCATCAGTAAACCCATCGGATTTTTCACAAGTAAAAGACAAACAAGAGAAAATCTGACTATCAAAATGAAAACACATGTAAAACATTTTCATTGTCTAACACGCATCAAGAATCCAAATATATCAAACCGACAAAAAAAAAAAAAATTAAATAAAATTAATAAACCCACCTAATTTTTCCCTCTTGGTCATTTTCAAGTGTTTGAATTATAACAATCAATTAATGGAGTAGGTCAATAAGAGTGATTTTCAATTAAAAATCGCAAACTTATTATCATCCACTGACAATTTCCGAAACTCTTAATTACAGTTGTCAGTTACAAATACGTTAATGACGATAGTTTTTGCCTACTATGTCGGATTTCAGAGTGGTTAATAGTTTTTTACCCACAAGAAAAAAACAATATTTGAAATTTACACACACGCGATTCCAATTCAATGAATGAAGAGAGGGAGGGGTAGGCCATGGCCATGGTCATGCCCCTTTCACTTTCAAGAAAGATACAAACCAACTACAACTATATGGAATCCAAAACAGAAGAAAAAAGATACCTTATTTTAAAAAATTATTGATCTTTGAGAAGATAAAACAAGAACAGAACAAGAACGAAGATGGAGAAGACGACATAAAATACAATCCTTATCATTTCAAAAGCTTTTTCACGTGATGACAAGCTCATGTTCACGGCATTTGTGAGAGAGAGGGCCTTTGCCCCTCAAGGTATCTTTTTGACCTATTATATTATTATTTGTATTTTATTTATCCTTTGCCATTGTCAAAACAGATGGAATCTTTAGTGGGGGGGGTGGGGAGTTTTTTGGAATTTGTTGAGGGTATTTTTGTCATTTATATGGTTATGGTTGTCTTTGTCAACTTTTAGGAGTTGTTGAGTGGCATTATTGTTAGTGCTCGGCAAGCTCTTCTCTTAACAAGAAATTCCCACTTACCTGCCTCTCTATTTCTAAACAATCATTTTTTTCTTTTTCCACCCTTTTACTTTTCTTTTTTTTCACATGTTACCCTGTTTGATTTTAAATTTTGAGGATTGACCACAAACTTGAATCATTAAAAAAAAAAAAAAAAAAAAAGTTTGGAATCATCAAAATAGGATTCAAATTTAGCTTGTTTATACGAGTACTCAGTTAAACGAAAACAATTTATCTGGGTTACCCACACCTAGATGTCGAGTGGTTAATAGAGACTTTTGAGTATATTACTAAAAAAGTCATGAATTTGATTCCCCTCAATTCCATTGAAGGTTTACTCGATCGTTAACTTAAAGGCTTCGAGGATTATAGCACAAAAAAAAAAAAAAAAATTTATTATATTGTGTTAATTCAGTTTTGATTATTCGAATTATGTATGAACTCAAAATACGTAATTTTATAGAATAAGTGGAAATGAAGGAAAAGTATTTATTAAATTCCTTTATATAACTCACAAAGTTCTCGTTGTTGAAAAAATTAATCACCTATTATATTTATAACTTATCTGAATTATTAGATTTGTAAGATATTCAATAAATCCAAAGATTAATTGACGTATACGTAAAACTAACCCAGATAGTCCGGTTACAAAATACACGATAAAAGTCCGAAGTTACAAAGTTCAATCAATGACTTAAAAATAAGAAAAAGAGAAAATACAAAATTCCAAACACAGGAAAAGACTAAAAGAGGGTTGAGTAATGTGTGGAAGAGGAATCGGTTCGGCTCGGTTCGCCGCATTTGAACGGCGGTGCTTTTTGACAATTTGTTTTTGTTGGGGGGAGGGTCCCATTACAGAAAGATTCTCTCTTTTTTAACATTTTCAAATCAATCTTTTCATAAACGTCCCTCCGATCTCACTCCCATGTACAAACATGTACATATACATATACATATAATTTTAGCTCCTTTTTTTCCACCCACCTTTCTGGTTTTTCTACCATCACAAAAACAAGGAAACAAAAAAGTACCTTTCAAAATTGTCTACTCATTCATTCATTCATGTCTACCTCTCTCTTTCATCCCATTTCAATTCTACCCTTCAAATCTTATCAAACTTTCTAATAATATCATGATTGAAATTTTGGATTCTAAGAGATGGAGATGAAATTTTTCAATTTGAACCAACAGTGACTCCATTCATTGAGTTAAAGCACATAATTTATAGACGATGAAGCTTTTTAATTTTTATAATATATGTTTTTAACCATCTTTGGATGGTCAGATAAGACGGTAAGTACTCTTGAATGTATTATTCAAGAAATTTTGAATTTGATTATCTTTTGTTGCTAATAAAGGTGGTTACTAAAGAGTTTACTCGATCATTAACTTCAAAGTCTCGAAAAATTAGTCGAAGTACGCACAAATCGGCTTAAACACCCTAATGGGCTAGTTATCCAAAAATAAATAAATTAAACTTACCGTAAAATATTAGAGTTGAAAAATACCACCTTTCTCTACAATTGGTTATACCTACAATCAACTAATTTATAGACGATGAAGCTTTTTAGAGTATATACTTTTAAACATCCCTAAATAACTGAGTTGGATGTATTATTCAAGAGATATTAAATTCGATTTCCATCAATTGCCCATAAGAGTGACCACTAGAAGATTTACTTGGTCGTTAACTTTAGAACCTCGGAAGATTAGTTAAAGTACACACAAACTGACCCGAACACCTCCAATCACCCAAAAAAAAAAAAAAAAGAAAGAAACTTAGGGTAAAATATCAGAGTTGAAATACCTACAATCAACTAATCATGGAAGGCCATGTCAAGACACTGGTTCTAGAATGCAAGATGTAAAACCGTTGTATGAAAGATTCTCTCAGAGAGTTTCACATGTGCTATTTTTAATAAACTTTAGTAAAGTTAACTTCAAGAAATGAATCGTTATGGTCCACTCTTTTCCGGCTGTCCATAATGATAAATGCCAAATTCTATAAATGCCCACAAGCTTTCTACAGCCTTTAAATTCCTGTACCTGTACCAGTACCATTACCATTACCATTACTGCTACTTGGGAACTTTCGTATGAACACAACACATTCACAGAATGAGATTTTAACATGTGAAAATTACTCCATTACAGGTCCATATCATGCCATTCTAGGATTCTGAAAAAGACATTCTTCCTAACTTACAATGGCTCCTATGTTGAACAAATGAAATCTCAACTTTACCAACTAACAGAGAGAGAGAAAAAGCAAGCAGATCAATCAATTTATTTACCGGGGGGAGTTCTACAGTACCGGCTCAATACCATGAGAACCTCTCGACTGATGAAACCGATTCATAGTTGAAGTAAATGTTGCCGAAAACAGGGCAGCAGATGATTTTATGCAGCAACATACACCAGCAAAATATGAGAAATCATTGGTAATAAGTGTTTTCTTAAACACATGCTTAGGAGTAATTCATGTCATCTCAGTGGTAAAGCAATAGATCTTGTCATTTCAATTTGACCTGTAAAGCAATAATAATAGAAATTCATGCATTTATTGATAACAGAAGTAATAAATGGGGTAGGCATGAAACATGAGTACATCACAGAAGCTTGATGAGATTCAACTGCACAAGTTAAGTCACACATGCAAGCGCAACAAACCTAGAAGAGAATTTTGTCCCTTGGCCCAGAATGATGTGTTATCTTTAGTTCTGACAAATGCTTTAAAGCCCATCAGTTGGACTGCACATAGTACATCGAGAATGCCCTAAAAAAACAATTTCAAAAGCAGAATTCATATAGTACCTATCAAAGTTTTATTAACCTTGTAGTCCCTGCAAGACTACAAGGTATAACAAATTTGCTTTCCAGATGGCCATGTCTTATGATCTTTCCACATTCTAATGGCCATCATCTCCACATACAAATAAGGTGTAGAAAGTTAAAAGAAGTAAATACATGATGCTATGGGGAACGGTGAAACAACTTAACTGAAGATATTTGCTTCAATTTGTTTGAAATGTTAGATGGATACAACTTACCAGCGTAAAAGGAGAATTAGAACTTGAGCAAAAATTGCCCACTTCTACTGGGCTCATATTATATACAAACAATCAACTCACTCTCCTATCTTGAAAAAAATTCAGTAGTCAGAAGCATTGAGCCTGAGAAGCACCAGAGAGAGTCAACCTCAGAAAGTTCCTTTAGCTTATCATGACACACAACTCTTTCCTCCTATCATTTTGATCCTTCATGAAAAAAGCAGAAAAGACTAAGTTGAGAACAATTGACATGCCAGAACTTGACAAAAAATTTAAAACGGACAACATGCATACAGCTAGCAGAGGGAAATGAAGACTAACATAAAGCTTAACAAGCATTAAAAATTGAAAAGTTGAGAGAAGCAGGAACACACACACACACACAAAAAAGAAACTTTTGATTAAGCTAAGGCAAGCCAACTATTTGCAGCTTAGATTTGCTTGCAGGGCTAGAATCAAACTCGACCATTGCAAAACTTGGTCCAATCTTAGTAAAATTGGATTTGGCTAAACAAACACTAGCTTATAGACTCAATAAATATTGGTTATTAGCCTAAGGTGTTATCATACCTCCTTTCTTCTGTCGTTTTTCTTTCCGATGTGGTTCATCTGTACCTGAATAGCAAAAAACAAATTTCCCATGTTACACAGAATCAGTCAAAAGCACCCTAGTTTATTGTTGATTGTCTACATGGTAGGTTGTTAAAGAAATAAACAGCGTAAGGATTTGATGTAGACCAAAATAACTGACAAGCATTTTGATAGTGCATAAACTTTAAGTTATCAATCTCACCTTCTGCCTCTTGCTTGCGCCGCTTTTCCTTCTGAGTAGAGTCTACAGGAGCTGTAAAATTAGGAATTAAACAATTTATTCAAGATATTGAAAGATATATAAAGACATTTTTTCTGTTTCTTTGATAAGGAAAGTTTCAAAACATAGTAGTTTAAACATCAACTAGAAGCTTAAACAGCAAGTTTAAGACATAATCGGAAAACTTTGCACCACCTATATGCTAGATGTTCTATCAAAATAGTATATCATTTCCATGAACATTTTGATAAAAATAATTAAATATAAATAATATCTGAAGAGCAGGAATCAGCCCTTACACATGCATACAGACACTATAAGACATGCAATACTAAATGTTAGACTAGACACAGCAAAGACCTATGTATGAGGTAAATTTATATGGCATTCTAGCTGTATATGGTAATCCAATGCAAAGTGTTCAACTGGACACAGCAAGGACTTTGGTATGAGGTATATGTATAGGGCATTCTAGCTGTATAAGGTATGCAGAGTGTTTGCTTAACATATTTGTCCGTTTAGGTGATTTTGCAAAGTCTGATCTAGAATCAATTGCCTAACCCAACTCAATATCTTTATGCATAAGGTTTACTCCAAAGGGACTTCTAAATCTTTTTTTATGACTGGCTTCCTTAAATGAGAAAGTTCTAAAAACTACCTTGATGTACCTAGAAATATACAAGATCATTTTAACCCGATATACATTGAGAATGTCCATAAGAGAGGGACTACGTTTGATGTTAAAGTCAGGTAGTTAATGTGAATGAAATGAATAGCAAAGATTTTCCAACAAAGACAATTATGCCACATAGATAGTCTCATTGTTCATGATTTTATAAGATAAAAAAAGAAGCTTGATTAAAAAAAAAATACCATCTTCCTTGTCTAACGGCCATATGTGTTTGGAGAGAACTTTATTCATTTGAAACATGTTGATAGAACTAACACGAAAAAGAGCATGTAAAGATTCATCACATAATATATTTCGCTTATTCTTTGGATCTTGCAATTGGTTGTCCTTAATATAAACCCAGAGTTTCTTAACAACCTACAACCAAAAGACAGCAGGGATTTAGAAACAATGAAAGAGTAAGTTCTGAAATTACAGTTTGAAGAAATCCACCATTAGCAACATGAGCTAAAAAAACTGTACATGAATATTCTGGTGTACTATTAACATACCTCTGTTCTGGCCAACTCAGATACTCCAAACAATGTTTGAAGCTCTGGAGAAAGACTACACAACTTGGTAAAGCCACCTCTTTTCTTGACATCTTTGTCCACCTTAGTTAATCTAGTAGACAAAATAGATTACTTTAGTCCAGAAACAATACCAACAAGCTGTGGATCAGAGTAACATCAGATAACAGACATTAATCTATTCTTTGAATTTCCTATGTCAGCATATTAAAGTATACATCCTCAGATATATCTAATAGACTATTATCAATCTTGAGGGATTTGAAATCATCAACTCTGACAATAACTAACAAGAACTTAATTATTTGTTTTAAAGCTTAACCCAATATATATCAGAAATTAACAGCGAGGATAAATGAATGGTAAAAATACTGCAGTGACTAATCACCAACTCAAGCAGCAACCAATCAACCCAAAAGTCGAATGAATAAATAGTCTATGAAGTTTAAGCAATGTATATAAAAGCATGATGGTATCAATTTCAGATTACAAGCCTAAGAAAATGCATCTAAATGATGTTCCAAATATGTTCCTTCCCTAATCAGTAAGATTTTAGTGTAAGACATATTCGATTGTCCCACCCTTTACCCCTTGAGTTTGATCCTTTTCTCAAAGAGTAGCTTCATTTTTCAGGCACACCTATGCATAAATCAATACAAGAGACGGAATATAAACATTGAAGGTCAATGTAACAGATAATGTGTCTCACAAACTCCCCTGTTCATTGGATAAAAGGTTGATACACCGAGCAAAACCAACAAACCACAAGAAGTAGATGTTCTCAATTTCTTAAATTCTTCTATGGTTTCTAATTGTCAATCTGAATGATGATCAACAGTTTGAAGAATCCCTTTCCAATCAACATTCAAAGAACAACATCAATGATGTTCAATTTGAGGGCCATCAGCATCTCTCAAGGATTCAAATTTAAGAATGAAAGTATTTGACCAAGAATAAGTGCGAGTTAGACTTAATAAATTCAAAATGCATAATTAATTCTCATATCGATAACAACTAATAAAATCTATTTTAAATAATTTTAATTATCTGAGAAATGCAGTTTTTCATGAGGTGGGGAAAGAGGAAAAGAGAAATAGAAAACAAATATAAGGAATAAATGCTGCAAGAACTGACCCTTTTTTCTTGCTTCCTTTCTTATTACTCTTTTCCTTTTTCTCTTCTTCTTCTTCTTCGTCATCCTTGCGGTCTTCATCTTCTTCTACTTCTTTTTCTTCTTCGTCTGTCTTGTTATCTTCTGTCACAAAATCATGATTATCTTCATCTTCTATCTTCTGCTCTACATTTTCTGATTTTCATCAATACCTTGGCATTAATATTTTAACCAAATATCTATATCATGCAACTTTGGTACTATGCCTCTAATTCTAAAGGTGAATGAATGAGCACTCTATAGTATATACCGTAATGAAATAAATCAGAAGTTGATTGAGGAATCCAGTTTGTGTTGTGGGAGTTGAAGTTGTAATTGCAGAAAAATGTAAACATCATACGGTTATCCAAGTACTGGAAAAATTAATTAGATTATATGAAAAAAAAAATGTTAGCATTATAACACATCCTTTAAAAAGAAAAATAGCTGAAATAATAAACAAGAAAACTCATATTCAGAACTGATATGAGCCATTTATCCATCATATATCAAATATCAAACATTTTTTTTACATAACAAACAAATACCAATAAAGCAAAAAGTATATATGCATCGGTTAAAATAATATTAACTTACCAATGTACAACCATTTTATTATTCCAAGTGCAAATTTGTCATACACCAGATAATCAACAGCTGTTATTTCATTAGATAAAATTTTCTCTTCTTCTTCTTCTTCTTCTTCTTCTTCTTCTTCTTCTTATTATTATTATTATTTACTAAAAAAGTCTTTGTACAAACAAATCCTTATTTTTTTTCACCCAAAAAGAAATAGACATATAACCGATTTAACTGTTCAATCCCACCCTTATTTAGCTTCCCAAGGGAGGCCTTGCAAACCCAAAACATTCTCCATATTTCATTGCCTGGAGTTATTTCTGTAATAATCCATATTTTATCATATTAAATCTGCATGGTCTTTTCTCATATTTAATCTGCTGAAGCAGCATCACAAAAAAAGTTGAAGATAAACTCCCCAAACTGCAAGCACCAAGAAAGCTTTGGCACCCATTTGTTAGCTTCAATAACTTTATACCTTTAAAAACCATTTTTAACCTGATAATGGGAACATCACAAGTAAAATTAAGGAAAAAACAAGAAAAGCTACATGTGCACAGAGACACACCACAAAAGGCTCATCAAGCCAGACACCAAGGTAATAGGTCAGCCATGAACAAAGACAACTAAGTGCATTTATAGCCTCAATAACATAAAATTGTAAAAGAACAACATTCAAAGCAAGTACCAGTTTCCACAGTCAATGGCCAAATATGCTTGGACAGGACTTTGTTCATTTGAAACATATCAATAGAGTTTACACGAAATATGGCTAGCAATGACTTGTCACACAGTATTTTTTTCTTATTCTTAGGATCCTGCAAATTATTTTCCTTGATGTATGCCCAAACTTTTTTCACAACCTGGAATCAAAGAAAAATGAAACAATGTTGAAGCTCTGGAGAAAGACTACACAACTTGGTAAAGCCACCTCTTTTCTTGACATCTTTGTCCACCTTAGTTATCTAGTAGACAAAATATATAATTTTGTCCCTTGGCCCAGAATGATGTGTTATCTTTAGTTCTGACAAATGCTTTAAAGCCCATCAGTTGGACTGCACATAGTACATCGAGAATGCCCTAAAAAAACAATTTCAAAAGCAGAATTCATATAGTACCTATCAAAGTTTTATTAACCTTGTAGTCCCTGCAAGACTACAAGGTATAACAAATTTGCTTTCCAGATGGCCATGTCTTATGATCTTTCCACATTCTAATGGCCATCATCTCCACATACAAATAAGGTGTAGAAAGTTAAAAGAAGTAAATACATGATGCTATGGGGAACGGTGAAACAACTTAACTGAAGATATTTGCTTCAATTTGTTTGAAATGTTAGATGGATACAACTTACCAGCGTAAAAGGAGAATTAGAACTTGAGCAAAAATTGCCCACTTCTACTGGGCTCATATTATATACAAACAATCAACTCACTCTCCTATCTTGAAAAAAATTCAGTAGTCAGAAGCATTGAGCCTGAGAAGCACCAGAGAGAGTCAACCTCAGAAAGTTCCTTTAGCTTATCATGACACACAACTCTTTCCTCCTATCATTTTGATCCTTCATGAAAAAAGCAGAAAAGACTAAGTTGAGAACAATTGACATGCCAGAACTTGACAAAAAATTTAAAACGGACAACATGCATACAGCTAGCAGAGGGAAATGAAGACTAACATAAAGCTTAACAAGCATTAAAAATTGAAAAGTTGAGAGAAGCAGGAACACACACACACACACAAAAAAGAAACTTTTGATTAAGCTAAGGCAAGCCAACTATTTGCAGCTTAGATTTGCTTGCAGGGCTAGAATCAAACTCGACCATTGCAAAACTTGGTCCAATCTTAGTAAAATTGGATTTGGCTAAACAAACACTAGCTTATAGACTCAATAAATATTGGTTATTAGCCTAAGGTGTTATCATACCTCCTTTCTTCTGTCGTTTTTCTTTCCGATGTGGTTCATCTGTACCTGAATAGCAAAAAACAAATTTCCCATGTTACACAGAATCAGTCAAAAGCACCCTAGTTTATTGTTGATTGTCTACATGGTAGGTTGTTAAAGAAATAAACAGCGTAAGGATTTGATGTAGACCAAAATAACTGACAAGCATTTTGATAGTGCATAAACTTTAAGTTATCAATCTCACCTTCTGCCTCTTGCTTGCGCCGCTTTTCCTTCTGAGTAGAGTCTACAGGAGCTGTAAAATTAGGAATTAAACAATTTATTCAAGATATTGAAAGATATATAAAGACATTTTTTCTGTTTCTTTGATAAGGAAAGTTTCAAAACATAGTAGTTTAAACATCAACTAGAAGCTTAAACAGCAAGTTTAAGACATAATCGGAAAACTTTGCACCACCTATATGCTAGATGTTCTATCAAAATAGTATATCATTTCCATGAACATTTTGATAAAAATAATTAAATATAAATAATATCTGAAGAGCAGGAATCAGCCCTTACACATGCATACAGACACTATAAGACATGCAATACTAAATGTTAGACTAGACACAGCAAAGACCTATGTATGAGGTAAATTTATATGGCATTCTAGCTGTATATGGTAATCCAATGCAAAGTGTTCAACTGGACACAGCAAGGACTTTGGTATGAGGTATATGTATAGGGCATTCTAGCTGTATAAGGTATGCAGAGTGTTTGCTTAACATATTTGTCCGTTTAGGTGATTTTGCAAAGTCTGATCTAGAATCAATTGCCTAACCCAACTCAATATCTTTATGCATAAGGTTTACTCCAAAGGGACTTCTAAATCTTTTTTTATGACTGGCTTCCTTAAATGAGAAAGTTCTAAAAACTACCTTGATGTACCTAGAAATATACAAGATCATTTTAACCCGATATACATTGAGAATGTCCATAAGAGAGGGACTACGTTTGATGTTAAAGTCAGGTAGTTAATGTGAATGAAATGAATAGCAAAGATTTTCCAACAAAGACAATTATGCCACATAGCTAATCTCATTGTTCATGATTTTATAAGATAAAAAAAGAAGCTCGATTAAAAAAAAAATACCATCTTCCTTGTCTAACGGCCATATGTGTTCGGAGAGAGCTTTACTCATTTGAAACATGTTGATAGAACTAACACGAAAAAGAGCATGTAAAGATTCATCACATAATATATTTCGCTTATTCTTTGGATCTTGCAATTGATTGTCCTTAATATAAACCCAGAGTTTCTTAACAACCTACAACCAAAAGACAGCAGGGATTTAGAAACAATGAAAGAGTAAGTTCTGAAATTACAGTTTGAAGAAATCCACCATTAGCAACATGAGCTAAAAAAACTGTACATGAATATTCTGGTGTACTATTAACATACCTCTGTTCTGGCCAACTCAGATACTCCAAAAACAATGGTTGAAGCTCTGGAGAAGACTACAGACACAACTTGGTAAAGCCACCTCTTTTCCTTGACTTTTGTCCACCTTAGTTGATCTAGTAGACAAAATATATTACTTTAGTCCAGAAACAATGCCAACAAGCTGTGGATCAGAGTAACATCAGATAACAGACATTAATCTATTCTTTGAATTTCCTATGTCAGCATATTAAGTATACATCCTCAGATATATCTAATAGACCATTATCAATCTTGAGGGATTTGAAATCATCACTGACAATAACTAACAAGAACTTAATTATTTGTTTTAAAGCTTAACCCACTATTTATCAAATTAACAGCGAGGATAATGAATGGTAAAAACTGCAGTGACTAATCACCAACTCAAGCAGCAACCAATCACCCCAAAGTCATGGAATAATAGTCTATGAAGTTTAAGCAATGTATATAAAGCATGATGGTATCATTTCAGATTACAAGCCTAAGAAATGCATCTAAATGATGTTTCCAAATATGTTCCTTCCCTATCGTAGATTTTAGTGTAAGACATATTCATTGTCCCACCCTTTCCCCCTTGATTTTGATCCTTTTCTCAAAGAGTAGCTTCATTTTTCAGGCACACCTATGCATAAATCAATACAAGAGACGGAATATAAACATTAGGTCAAGTGTAACAGATAATGTGTCTCACAAACTCCCCTGTTCATTGGATAAAGGTTGATACACCGAGCAAAACCAACAAACCACAAGAAGTAGATGTTCTCATTCTTAAATTCTTCTATGTTTCTATTGTCAATCTGAATGATGATCAACATTTTGAAGAATCCCTTTCCAATCAACATTCAAGAACAACATCAATGATGTTCAATTTGAGGGCCATCAGCATCTCTCAAGGATTCAATTTAAGAATGAGTATTTGACCAAGATAAGTGCGAGTTAACTTAATAATTCAAAATGCTAATTAATTCTCATATCTCGATAACAACTATAAAATCTATTTTAATAATTTAATATCTGAGAAATGCAGTTTTTCATGAGTGGGGAAAGAGGAAAAGAGAAATAGAAACAAAAATAAGGAATAAATGCTGCAGAACTGACCCTTTTTCTTGCTTCCTTTCTTATTACTCTTTTCCTTTTCTCTTCTTCCTCTTCTCTTTCGTCATCCTTGCGGTCTTCATCTTCTTCTACTTCTTTTTCTTCTTCGTCTGTCTTGTTATCTTCTGTCACAAAATCATGATTATCTTCATCTTCTATCTTCTGCTCTACATTTTCTGATTTTCATCAATACCTTGGCATTATATTTTAACCAAATATCTATATCATGCAACTTTGGTACTATGCCTCTAATTCTAAGGTGAATGAATGAGCACCTATAGTATATACCGTAATGAAATAAATCAGAAGTTGATTGAGGAATCCAGTTTGTGTTTGGGAGTTGAAGTTGTAATTGCAAAAAATGTAAACATCATACGGTTATCCAAGTACTGGAAAAATTAATTAGATTTATGAAAAAAAAAATGTTAGCATTACAACACATCCTTTAAAAAGAAAAAAAGCTGATAATAACAGAAAACTCATATTCAGAACTGATATGAGCCATTTATCCATCATATATCAAATAGCAACATTTTTTTTACATAACAACAAATACCATAAAGCAAAAAATATATGCATCGTTTAAAATACTATTAACTTACCAATGTACAACCCTTTTATATTCGAAGTGCAAATTTGTCATACACCAGATAATCACAGCTGTTATTTTCATTAGATAATTTTCTCTTCTTCTTCTTCTTCTTCTTATTTACTAAAAAAGTCTTTGTACAAACAAATCCTTATTTTTTTTCACCCAAAAAGAAATAGACTATAACCGATTTAACTGTTCAATCCCACCCTTATTTGGCCTCCCTTGCAAACCCAAAACATTCTCCATATTTCATTGCCTGGAGTTATTTCTGTAATATTCCATATTTTATCATATTAAATCTGCATGGTCTTTTCTCATATTTAATCTGCTGAAGCAGCATCACAAAAAAAGTTGAAGATAAACTCCCAAACGTGCAAGCACAAGAAAGCTTTGGCACCCATTTGTTACTTCAACTTTATACCTTTAAAAACGATTTTTCACCTGATAATGGGAGCATCACAATAAAATTAAGGAAAAAACAAGAACAAGCTACAGTGCACAGAGACACACCACAAAGGCTCATCAGTCAGACACCAAGGTAATAGGTCACCATGAACAAAGACAACTAGGGCGCGTTTATAGCCTCAATAACATAAAATCGTAAAAGAAACATCAAGCAAGTACCATTTCCACAGTCCAATGGCCAAATATGCTTGGACAGGACTTTGTTCATTTGAAACATATCAATAGAGTTTACACGAAATATGGCTAGCAATGACTTGTCACACAGTATTTTTTTCTTATTCTTAGGATCCTGCAAATTATTTTCCTTGATGTATGCCCAAACTTTTTTCACAACCTGGAACCAAAGAAAAATGGAAAATAAAAGTTAAATAGTCAATCCAAATATTCCATCCTAACCGGAGTAAGACTGGAAGGATCTACATATAAGTAGAATATACCTGTGTTCTAGCCAATTCAGACACTCCAAGAAATTTCTGAAGTTGTGGAGAAAGGCTACATAATTTGTTAAAGCCACCTCCTCGTTTCTTCACTTCTTTATCCACATTGTTTGGCCTAATAGATAAAATATAAATATAAATTTTCAGTAACATCAATAAAATGAATAAATGCATGCTTTCATACGCTAGCATGTAAGACAACATATAGTCATTACACCATTCACATGTACATCCGATTGGATAAATAATGTACTATCACAACAATTCAGACAAAATTACCCACAAATGGAAGAGGAAAGATCCCCTCTTCTCCCACCGCCCCCACCCCCCCCAACTTTTCTATCGGTTAAATTTAACATATAAGTTTTTGTAGAGAAATATAATATAGATTGCATAGATAATGTTATCATTATGCTAATACCCTAGGACATAAAACATGATAGTTGCAACACATAAATGTCAAATTTGAGAGATCTTCAACTCCTCTAATATTTAGAATACTAATGAACACAGGTAAAATTTGATGCAATGAACAGAATTACATCACAAACCCATAATCACACAAGTCCAGCATAGAGCAAACCACAAGCTTGACCACTTTACAAACCACTTTCAATTCCCAACCACTAAAACCCATATTAGAACGAGTCTATACCTAAAAATTTTCAATCTTTTTAGTGCACTATCAAATAGATAAGAAGAAATGTTTTCTCTAAGCTTTAGAACTAATAGCATAAAAAGTTCCTAGATAAGCTATTACATAATGATCAAGCAATCTCTGTTCCAAAATAACAATTTCAAAAAAACAACCAATGATACAGTAAAATCTTCAGTACAAAAATTAAAAAAAATAAATAAATAACAAGAATAAATGTCAACCAAGTTTCTTTTCAGCAAACTAAACACGAAGTATAAAGAGCCTACTTTTCTTCGTCTTCAACGTCATCGTTTTCCCCTTCCACATTATCTTCTTTATTGTCTTTCTCTAAAGTTTGTGGAGATATAAATATCAATTTGGTCCCTATAAAAGTCTTCCGGTCCGACAAGTCCCCTTAAACTCTTCTCCAGTTGCCTCCGACACTGGCAGCGGTGGCCTTGTCAAGGTCGGAGCTGCCGAGTATTTCTCGGAGCCGTTCACAGGTCCGAGTCCGACACCATTATCGGGTTTCGATGTTTTCGATATTTCGCGGGCTACACAGAAACAAAAGATAGAGAGAGGAGAGAGGATGGAGAAGAAATGATGATGGTCGGTGTTTACAAAGAGGTGATTCGTGAGAGGGTATTATCGGGATTTAGATAAAGTCACCCACTTCTTCACCTGCCGTTTTAGTTTACAAAAGCTGTCATTTAACCAGTGTCTGGGTGGTGGTCACGTTAGTAATAACCTAGTATTGCCATTGTAATAAGACAGGTGAATCGGATGCAGGGATGGCGTTTGCCCCGGCCCGAATGGGCGGAATCCATGGAAATATCAGAGATAGGGCTGAGGATGGTCGTCACAAATCCCTGACCCGGCCCCATGGACCACTTTCTTTTATTAAATTTTTTATATATATATATTTTTTACAAGATTGTATAAAAATTAGAGTTTAAATCGATTTAGTTTATCAATTTACATAGAATTATATTAGATTTAATTTAGTTATATTAATTTTGTGAAAAATTAATTAATTATCAGGCTAATTAAGCCTAAGCTTCCATACATTGAATAATTAATCAATTTACTGTGAAATTATGTTTAATATCTTTTATATCCTGGATAGAACCGATATATCCAAACTCGATTCTCTAAAGACCTCCAACGATTGGCGAAAGTAGCTAGCAAGAAATTGGATTGATCTATTAATTGAGTTCGTGACCTACTAGTGGTTTAGTTTGCCCAGTTTTGTTTACTTCTATGATGCCAACAATCGGATAGATTCAAATCTTTCTCGAAGTTTTGGTTTTTTTTCTTTCTTGATTAGAAAAGAAAAGGCGAAACAATTGAATAATATATATATTATGAAAAATTAATTAATTAACAAGATTGATTAAGCCTAACCGGTTAAACCTTCATACAATTAAATAAGTAATCAAAAGTAAATTATGTTAAGATTGAATTTAGTTATATTAATTTTATGAAAAATTAATTAATTAATAGAGTTAACTAAGTCTAAGTCTTCATACAGTTGAATAATTAATCAATTTACCTAATAAATTTTGTTAAGATTAGATATAGATATATTTAATTATGTTCGAGGGAAAATCCCTACAGGGGGAATTTCCCCGCGAAGCCCCTTTCACGGGCCGGGACAGGGATGGGAGTGATTCCATCCCTATGGGTCGGGGACGGCCCAGGACTGGTCATGGGACTGAATATCAGGGATGGGGAACGAGGTCCCCAACCCAGCCCGCGCCCATCCCTAATTGGATGGGGGTATTTATTTTTATAACGATATTATGACCATTTTACCTTTTAATCGGTCGATGAGTGTGCATCCGCCAACTCCATCAAACACTGGCTGGTTCCGGCATCGTTACAACATCACACCACTATCATTTTCTTCCCCGATTATCACTCACTAAAACCCTTCAAACCTTGCTCCTGCTGACTTTATCAATTGTTGACAATCGAACGATTTGTGGAATGTGTAGTCGTCACCCCTCCCAACTTAGATTTGACCGTCACCCCTCCCAACTTAGATTTGACCAATTCTAATCACCAAAATCCAACTTGCCACCATCAAAAGACTTATCAACATCCCTTCTTCAAAAAACCCAACAACTTGTACCGAGTTTGCTCTCCTTCGCCAGCAAATCCAAAAGAGTAGTTTGGGTGGTAAACAAAATATAAACTTTGTATAATAAATTAGTATTTTAAAACTCTTTAGATGGAAACGTTATTAAGGCAAACCTTGGGTGAGAAAAAGTTGTTTACTCTTGTAATAATTTCATTTTATTAAATCCACCTAAATATCATTAAGATTGCAAAAATGATTTATTTTCATAGGTTTTTAATATATTTCTCTTCAGTTGTATTAAAAAATAAAAATTGTGAACATCTGTTGAATAAAAATTTTAAATTCATATATTCTTATAGCAGCCATTTTTTCGATAATTTTAATATAAATTCAAAAAAAAATACAAAATACATAGAATACAAGCTCTACAAATTTTCTTCATCACTGTGATCGGAAACACTACCATCAGAATCAGATCCACTATAAACTGAGGTATCATCGCCTGCTTTGAGAAGGACACCTTCTTTCAAGTCATCCAAAACATAAGGTTCTATTAGTTTCCAAAACCATGAAGAATTGCTTCCCATGAAACCTATCCAAAACACTTTCCCTTTCTTCTTTACTCTGCAATCAAGAGATTGAGATTTCAAAGCTCTGACAACCTTCTCAACACCCTCGCTGTTTCCCTTCAGCTTTAATATGATATCCCCTACTGATGTTCTGTGTCCCCCATACATATACCAGTATGCCAAAACACGCGGGGATAGCCACCGATGGATTAGCTTGGGAATCATGGGCTGACCTTTTGGCCGAAACTGGTCTGCGTAAAAACCAAAGTATGAGTGTGTGATACTGGAAAACCTATATGGTATATCCTCACGACCATCATCACTCAGCTTACAAGAAGGATGTAACCACTCGTGGTACTGGTCATATAAATGTCTTCTCAAAATTGAATGCACACCAGAATTCTCATTGAACTCAAACCGGATCATGTGATTCTTCCTCCCTTCATCTGATTCAATGCACAAACCACCTAAAAGCAAACCAATTAAAATCTCTCGTTGTTCTTTATTCAACTTTATGCTTACAGGTTTCTTAACAACTTTCCTGGTCAAGCTCAACACATAGTCAATTTTTTCCATCAATGTGGACTCAATATCATACTTCTTCTGGCACATCAGATCATATATTTTTTCTCCCTTCTTATAATCTCCAGAAGAGAGGTATCCACGTAAAATGGTGTTGCATGATCTAGCGTTAACACCAATCATTTCATCCTTAAGCATTTGGTTAAAAATCTGCTCACTTTTGTCTAGATTACCAACTTCCACCAAAGATTCCAAGTAAATGTTGTAAATACTTCGATTAGGTCGACATCTCTCAAGACACTCTGAGAAGGTCAAGTCTAATCTGTCATGCATGCCCAAGTTGAGGTACATATTTGTCAGATCAATGTAAGATGGCATAAGTGACTTCATACCACTCTGTTCAAACTCTTTCATAAGGGATTCTGCAAGTTCTGTTTCCTGAGCTTTGCATAACACCTCTATGATTTTATGATATGCTGGAACACTAGCAGAACCTAGATGCTCCTTCATCTCTCTGAATATGTCCAAAGATTTCATGAACTCCCCAACCTTCGCATAAGCTTCCATTTTATAAACAAAAGCTTGAGTGGGGATGTCAATGTTACATTCAACTAGTTTGACCCAAATTCTTTCTGCTTCCTCCACATCCCCCTCCTTTGAGCAAACTCTCAAGACAGACAATAGCACTTCCTTGCCTTCCTCAATTCCTGCTTGCCGCATTTCTTCCCTTAGTGATTCTATCCTTTCTTTATCTATGGTGTCTTGATAGCTATGTAGCCAAATTAATCCACCATAAATAAACTTCTGTATCTCAAGTCCTGATGTGTTCAGATTGTGAAAAACAAACTCAGCTTGTTTAAGGTAATGTTTTGACAAGCCTCCAGGTTTGCTCACAAGAGCTCTGAAGAGAGAATTATGCAAACTAAGACGCGGTTGGTAACCTCCCAGTTGAATCATACGATTATAGATGCTGCATGCTTCCTCCAAGGAACCTTGAACCGGTGCACTCAGATATGCAACAACCAAAATATGAAATGTGGATTCACAGGGCACACGTCCTTGATTAATTATGTCATCAAATATCTCCCTACACTTGGAAAACTTTCTTTCCTTACCCATGTAATCTGCCAGCTTGGTAGCAAGAGCGAAATCATATTGATACCAATGTTGCTGCATCATCCATTTGTACACCTGAAACATTTAACCAACAGTTTTTCAACAAGAAAACCCTAGATACAGTTATAAACCCACAATGCAGGGTCAAATAACCAAAAAAGAAAAAAGTGCTCATCTACTTGATTTCTCATATAACAACAGAAAATAATAAACGGCCCAATTGTCCAACAAACATAAGTCATAGAGAACTTGCGGGAAACAAGGCATGTATATGACTTCATTGTTTCAAGCTTAAATTCTTCTGCACATGCGAACTTTTCCCATGAGGATTGTGGATATCAGAAACACAACCATTTACAATGGCAAACTACATCAGTGATTCAAAGTTAACAAGCAGAAATCCCATTCAATTTAAACCCCGATAGAATTCCAGATTTAAACCCCAATAAAATCCCATAAACTTATGCATATTAACTCAAGTAACAGAACGTGAAACTCCAACCTGAATAAAAAAAATCATATCATCCAACCTAACAAGCAAATACAAAATCACAGAGCCTCAACAACTGACTCAAACATTTTACAATTAAAAACTTTGCAAGTAAGAAGCACAAGCACTGACATAATTATTAACAATCAATAAGCAATAAACTATACCCTGAAGCCAGTTTCATTCTCACGAATCCGCATGCAATGAACAGCCACATAAGTGGCATCGTCTTGCCTCAACCACTTCTTCTGAGCGTTCAAAATCCTAACAAGCGTCCCCGCTTTATGAGCAGGCAGTTCTTTACACAACCAAGCCAACTTGGCCCTTCTCCACTGCTCAGGCAACTCCTCCAGCTCCTTAACCTCCACAACGGACCCACCCAAGTGCCTCATTTCACTTCCAACATCAAAATTCAAAGACCATTTATTGTGAATATCGTTAGATTCATTGAAGTAGCCCAACGCGTCGTCTTCTTCTGAAGTTTCTTCGCTGGTCGACAGGTGTTCGACGAAAGTACTGTGAGGAGAGGCGGCAGCAAAGGAGCGAGATAAGTAACGGGGTTTGGCGGTGGGGAGACGAAGGAGGTGGTGGCGGTGGTAGTGGAGGGAGAAAGGGAGTGAGCGGAGCAGAGAAAGAGAGGTGCGCACGGGCGAAGTGAGGGCTTGAGTCGGGTTGAATGGGTTGGTTGAAAGCATGTTCGTTTTGTTTAGTTTTAAGTTCCGTGTCAGTCAAACTTCTTCTCGCTTGGGGGCTCAAGGGCTTGCCAATTTCACTCTTATACTTAAGTTTGCATTTTTGAATAAATATGAACTTATGTGGTACTCCTTGGTTTCATATTAATTGACGTTTTACGAGAGTATCTTTTTGCCGAAATAAAATGGTTTGACTACTCAACCCTCTCTCTCTTTCTCGACGAATTCTCTTGTCCCCTCTATTCTACTTTTTCTCTGTCCTAATTTTTTCTCTCTTTCTCTATCTCTATCCCTAGAGTTGGACAGGAATCGGTCCCTTGTAGGCCCAAACCTAGGCCCATTTAAGACTAGTCCTAAATAAGATCAGTCACTCATGGGCCTAGGACCAGTCTCAGGCCCATGAGAAAAATCAGGACCCAGACCAGGCCCTAGCCCTGGTCAGGAATGGTCCCACAGACCCAGGATCGGTCCCATGAGGTTTAGATAATTTTATTTTCCTCCCTCAATTTCTTTTTTATATTTTGGGGGTAAAACGAAATTTTATAAGGGGTTTTTAGTATTTTTAGGGGTAAAATTTATAAATTTTTTAGACCTCGAAGATTATTTTTTATAAATTTTGTAAAATTCCATTTTAGCCTCGTAAGTTATATTTATTTTAAAATTAACAGGGGGTTTTATATAATTTGATAGAGGACTATATTAAAAAAATACAAAAAAATTTAGGCCTGGACCCTCCTTCTTAGGGTTGGTCTCGTTTTGAGACCAAGTCTCCTAAGTTCGGTCCTCTCAAAGACCGGTCCTAGGACTAAGTTTTAAAGCTGGGTCTTTGGGTCCGGTCCCAAATGCCCAGCTCTATCTGTCCCTCATCTCCTCTTTCTCTCTCTCTCTTTTTTTTTTTCTTTTAAATGACGGCAGTAAAAGAAAGGAGTAGAAGAAAGAAAATGACATATTAAATTGAATAACAGTTTCACTCTTGGATATAGTGGGAGAATCAAAATTTTCCCACTGTAATTTCAGTGAAAGAATCAGCATGAGGAGAGAGAAATTTGTTTTCCTATAAATTATGCAAGGTCTTAAAACGTCACTTAATATGAAATGGAGGGAGTATTATTCTTTCATCCACACCTTATTTATTTATATTTATTAATTATTTAATTATTGAATAAATTAGTTTTGCAAATAATATTTTTTTTTTCTTTGTCTCCCCTAAGAGGTTTGAAAATGGACATTATATATATATATTATTATATATATATTATATATATATAGATATTCATTTGTTCACTTTTGGGTAATTGAGTGATTTGATACGGACTTTTAGGTGTAATTTATTACTTAAGAATCTTGAGTTTGAGTCTCTTTCTCGGTTGTTGATAGAAATAACCACTGGAACTCTTATCAGTCTGATAGTTTTAGGGTCTGAGAAATTAGTTGAGACATGTATAAGTTGATTTGGAGACTCCCGATCACTAAAAAAAAAAAAAAAACAATTAAATTGTTGACGGGATGCGTTATTAGGGAAATTCTTAAAATTTTTTGCGCATCAACAAGGCATCACAGAAATAATAATGGGCCGGGTCGGGCATTGATATAAATGGACCATATTTATCTTTCACAATGGGCCAGAAAGTGGACATGTGAATCTCTTCCTAAGCAAGTGCATTTGAAATTTTGTTAACAGCGCTATGGCTCTTCTAACCCCGTTATTTCAAAATTTTACATGATATGACTATAATACCCTCACGCAAATCCATAGTCTATTAACAAATGATTCTTCAATCAAACTTTGATAACACAAACGAACATACGCTCTTTGATATATTCTAACTATATGACCGTAGTGTCATTTAGGGGTGATTGTTTCCGGGTATCCTATATTTTTTTAAGGAACGGGAAACAATCGATTTCGATTCCTAGAACATAGGTTTCGATTCTGATTCCCGGTACCTGGGTAAATTTCAATTACCCCAAATTTTTTAAAAATAACAAATACACCCTCAAAAATTATAATACACCCCCAATAATTTACAAAAAATACAATTAAGTCTCGATTCCTATATGGGTATCCGAACCTCAGTTTTGGTTCTGGTTCTGGTTTTCGGTTTCAAAACTATAGGAATCGTAACCAAAACTGGACCTGAGAATTCTCGATTCCAATTTTTCATAACCGGAACTGGACCCTAATGGGGTCGGTTCCAGTTATGCCTTTTACCCATGCTCACCTTTAATGTCATGCATACCACATCCAATCTATCGTAACAGATACCCAATTTTCTTTAATAACAATTTACCTAGAAAAAATTTTTTAACACTCCTATTTAGGGATGAGACACGAGTTGAGTAGCTCGCGATCTATTTGAACTCTGCTCGTCGAAAGCTTGAATTCGACTCGAAGCCAGTCGAACCAAGCTCGAGCTGGAGCGACTTGTGAACAGTATCGAGCCAAGTTCGATCCGGGCTGAGCTCGACTCTTCAGGCTCACGAGCTCGAGCGGCTCGTTTAAGCGAGCTCGAGCGTACCTTAATACTCAAGAGCTCGAGCTCAAACACCGATATTGAAGCTCGACCAAACTCGGCTCAAGCTCATTACTGTTCATCACAATACTTGGCTCGGCTCGACTCGTACATATCTTTACTCCTATTACACGAGTTATTTGCTGATAATAATATAATGATATGTTATATAAAACGTCGTTATCATACGTGAAAATCCCATGAATTGCCTGTCTCTCGACTAAACTTGTGTTTGGGAGTGCTTGTATTAGAAACACATCTATTTTATTTGAAAAACACATAAAACACTTCCATTTGGAAATGGGCATTGCCAGAAGGGCAATGCGAAGGGGCAAAGTGGTTTAGTTTCCTACCTATGAAGGAACCACTTTCCAGCAAACCAATAATTTTGTACCTCTCTAAATCTAAATAGTATTATGAAAATCCACCACCAAATTGAAAATGACACTATTCTTAACCACTTTCTAAATAAAGACTGGATAATTCTCACATTCCCATAACGTTTCTTCTATCAAGACAAAAACATATAAAACTTTTTTTTTTTTTTTAATTAATTCAGCCCACATTCTGACTTTTCTAGTACTCTCCTTTGCCTGTTAACACTTTTTTAAAAAAAAAAAAAGCCCAACTATTGTCAACTATATATTAAACAATATCAACTATTACTTCTCCAACCACCTTTGAGTGGTCGGCCATGGCAATAGAAACTCTTGAGTGTATTACTCAAGAGATCTTAAGTTCGATTTTCATTAGTTATTAATAAGGATGGTCATTGGAGGGTTTACCTAGTCGTTAAAGATTAAACTAAATACGCGCAAGCAAGCCCAAACACCCCAATTCACCAAAAAAAAAAAAAAAGAAAAATTACTTCTCAATTTGGAAGTCTATTTCATTGGTAAATGGATTTCTATTATTATTATTTTTAACTGTTTCCACTTTTTTATTTGTTAATTATATACCGGGTTTATGATATTGTGTATTCTTGTATATTGTGTTCATGAAACTATAGTAGATTTCTCTCATCAATAGATATAGACGAGTTATGCCAAATTACGTAAATATCATGTTTTTTTATGTGATTTTATTTCTATGTAATTAATCTCGAATGTATATTTTTCTATTGCCTTTTCTCCCAACACGAAATGGAAACCCATCAAACCTATAAATTGGAGAAGTAGAACAGTAACCAATTTTACTACTTTAGAGGATTGTCATATATATATATATATATATATATATCATCTATTGGAAAATAAAAGGTTACATTAAACTACAATTTTTTAAACATAAATTGTTGCAAATAAAAATTAAAAAAGAAGAAGAAGAAGAAGACTTCATCTTTGGATAAGCTAAATTTATTTAAACATTAATTATGGAAACTGATACCGAAACAATAAAATAGATGATCGAAGAACGTAGGTAAAAAGTGAGACGATAACGACCATTGAATAAAAAAACCCCTCAAAACGACTCCGAAGGGCTAAAAAATGACGACTCACATGAGTCTTGTTTATTTGGCCGTTTAAGAGTGCCCTGCCCAAAATCATTGCATTCTAACACCCTCGACACAATTCATTCGATGGGTCCTGCATCAAAAACGCTTTTCTGATGTGTTATTATTTTATGTAACATTCTTGTTATTATTTCATCATAGATTAATACTACACTGATGAACACTTCTCACTAACTATTTCTCAGAAACGCGACATGTCAACTTGTAATGAGTCATGTCTGATCAAATGTGAGCTAACTAATTTAGAGGATTGTCATATATATATATATATATTGGAAAATAAAATAAAATAAAAGGTTACATGTAAACTACATTTTTTAAACATAAATTGTTGCAAATTAAAAAAAAAAAAAAAAAAAAAGGATGACTTCATCTTTGGATAAGCTACATTTATTTATACCAACTAGCCAGAAATTAAAAATAAAAATTAATCAAAGTGTTTGATTTCTTCAATATGTTGGTGGCCACCCTTTCGAAGTTGAATTGCTATTTTGGTTGAAGTTTCACGTTTGAGAGAGTGATATTGTCAGGAGTTTGGCCCGCAATTGGTCTTTTTTTGCAGATTATTTAAGGTTTATGGGCTATTATTGGTTATGGAGTTGACAATTCTTGCAAATTTTCAAAGGGTTAGGTCGATTTGTGCAATAATTTTGTTCACATATCAGGGATTTGAATTAAAAGCCTCTTCAATGTATTTTTAATATTTTTCATTAATTACGGAAAAAACAATAAAATAGATGATCGAAGAACGTAGGTAAAAAGTGATACAATAACGACTACTGAATAAAAAAACACCTCAAAATGACTCCAAAGAGATAAAAAATTACGACTCGCATGAGTTTTGTTTGTTTGACCGTTTTAGAGTGCCTTGCCCAAAATCATTACATTCTAACACCCTCGACACTATTCATTCAATGGGTCTTGCATCAAAAACGCTTTTTTGATGTGTTATTATTTTATGTAACATTCTTATTATTATTTCATCGTAGATTAATATTACGCTAATAAACACTTTTCACTAACTTTTTCTCACAAACGCGACGTG